CATTTTCATTTCAAAACCCACCAGTCAAGACAACCGCATGAGCTCAGGAGAAGACAGATGCACCAGTATGCTGCGTGGCCACTTCTTCAATTTAATGTCCAGGAAAAAGTTTTTTTTCCCATGTGTGTCTAAAGGCGGAGAACACCTTTGCAGAACGTTATGCAGTGAAATATTGACTTCTCCAGCCTCCAGGAAGGCAAGTGAATAGAGAGCTCTATTCTATCACAAAACACATGAAGATGAGCATATTTTAAATGTTTGTCACTGGTGGTGTTATGGCTGTGATATATCTCAAAAAGGCTGTGAACAGCTTGAGTTAAATGCAAGCTGAAACCAATAAAAATCTGTAGGATAGCATCTCGTCCAATGTGTTTTATAAATGTTGGATGAACTTTCTATTTGACTTGAAGGAATGTAATCTTTTCCAGATACAACCTGGGTCTTTGTTTGTTTCTTTAAGATACTGCTTAAGGATCAAGGCTTCACAGAGGCACAGTGTTTAGAGGGACACTGTAAAACAAAGCTCTTCCCACTTAATTCTAGTGGCAAAGAGTCAATAAAAATTGCTTCTAGGAAGGAAGGAAAGTTTTGAAGAAGTGCCTTGAGAAAAGAGAAAGCACGGATGGACACGACAGCGGATAGTGTTACTCCTGGGATCAGAACCGTAACTCTGAATGCAACAGATCCAAGTCAGCTGCACAGTGGGAGAAGGAGTGCTACACTCAGACAGCTGTTAAGTTTCAGGAGAAACTTAAGTTTCAGCAGACTGCCATAACACAAGCTCTTTCAGTTATCTCCCATTTAAAGGCAAGTTGCTTGCCTCACATTATTCACTGCCCCTTCAGCTGTGTTTGTATTTAACCCTGGAACTCTAAAACCAGCTAAAACCACAGAAATTACCTTAAAGTAAACAATATAGAATTTCCGATAACAAAAGTAGTTAAACACATCCGCAAAGCCTTGTACACAGCGTACGAGACTCATGCAGTCAGCTCCCTCCTTTCACGCTGGCTTTGAAGCAATCCTACAGGCCAAGTCCACAGCATCTCATAGGCTGCTCTCCCAGTACTACTGGATGAGGAGCCATTCTGTGAGCAGTGAGAAGTAAGTTATTCCTGAAGGACACCAAGGTAGGAAACATCTGTCTAAATCCCCTATGTTCCAGAGGGTAATCCAGATCTAGCCTCACGCAGACATGAAAGCCTAATTATTTCAGGGTATGCCTGAGCAAATGATTGTTGTAAGGAGAAAGGTGCTTCTCACCACAATCTACTTGGAGAACCAAACAGTGAAAAGACTTGAAGTTATTAAGAGAAACCCAGAGATAGGACAGTGGTATCAATGCCCATCTTTTCAAGGGAATCTGGTAATTAGATAGGCTGACTCTCTCCAGAAGGCCATCTAAGGAGTTTCTAGTGATCAAAAGAATAATTGGATGCTGGATCAACCCAAAAGATAGAGACAACATCTATCTGGAAACTTTCACATGAAAAAGGGGGTTAGAGAAGACAACAGGAGATTCCTCTCCATCCCCAGGACAGACATCTGAAGGAAGGTGTAAGTTAACATGAAAGACAGTCCCCTATTACCTGTGTACATGGTCACCAGAAGGCATGGCTCTGAGAGGAACAGTGTTCAGGAACACTGGCTCAGCAAAGCTCCAGTGCTGTAGATGGGGTGGGATTAGTACCAAAGGCTAAAAATCCTGTTAACTGCTGCAACTGTTGTCATGCTGGATGAAACAGGGAGCAAGAACGTCTCGACCTGGGAGAAGACAATCATTCCCAAAGAGTGTGTTCTTTGTAAGAGGATGGAAAATACAAAGAGGTTGGTTTGCCAACTTGAGAAAGTAAGAATAGGGAGACACAATAACCTACAAAGACAAACATCCACAGCCTCTGAGAAGCACCGGTGATACTGTGGGACTTTTACCAAGGAAACTCACGCAAGTGCTGAAAACAGATGGAGCAAGTGACTGCCAAAGTTAAAAGCTCACTCAGCACCAAGCAGATAGATGGCATCAGGTCAAAGGTTGCCGCTGGATATGAACTTGGCACTAGAACTGGGGCCAGGGATGGAGAAAGATCTGGAATCAGATGAGTCCCTGGCACCACTCAGAGATGGAAGACTTACATAGTTTTTAAGAAAAGGGAAAAAAAAAAAAAAAAAAGAAGGGGGATGTGTTATATTCCAGACAATTAGATTTGGAAATTGACACCATCAGCTACAAGGATACAAAGAAAGTCTCTGAATGATTGCAAGACTTTTTCCAGCAAGCTTACAGTTGCCAACACACTAGTTGGCAATGGAAGTGGGCGGAAGCATGCCACTGGCTGCATTCATTTAGTCCCCAAATTTATCCATCCACATGCCTCATAACCTTCCTTTGGAGTGTGGGTGAGAGCAGATGGTCACATGAACTTAGGACAAGAGAAAACAGGGCTGAAAGCAACCTCCTAGGATGCACTGTATTTAACCTGACATGCTTGCCTAGCCTGTTCTTCACAATCTGCAGTACTGACAGTCCTATGGCCTCACCAGTGCTTACTGGTGCTTACTACCAGAAAGTTTATCTTAATACTTAGCTAAGTTTTCTTTACCATAAGGTCAAATCATAATTTCTAGTCCTATCACCAGTGGACAGAGAACAATTTATTTCTTTAATCTCTGCAGCAATTTCTTACATACTGGAAAAGTGCATCTTATCTTCTCTCAGTCTTCTCTTCGTTAGAGAAAAACAACACTTTTCTTCAGTCTTCCCTCATAAATCACTTTTTTAGGCCTCTGATCATGTGTTCTCCTTTGGAGTCTCTACAGTTGTCCACATCCTTTTTGAAGTACAGTACTGAAAACTGGACACCTTCCAGCAAAGTATTACTAATGCCATGTAAAGCCAAGGGATTATTTTGAGTTTTACACTGTTTATTTTTTGCAACTGTGTAACATTGTTTCCTGTTTCCTGATGTTTTTATTGAAATACTCCTCCTCTTGGAACCACACAGGTAATTATTCCTACCTTTGTACTTTGAACTTAAAAGGATTTCTTAGAAAAATGGCCTAAAAAGCATATAAATCAAGATTATTTGAATTTTGACCCTGCCCTTCAACATGTTTGTAACCCCTTGGCATGACAGTCTCCTAAGCTCCTTTTCTGCTTGAATATTTAACACTTTTTAGCCTGCTACCCTTCCTCTTACCATATATAGTTCCAGATATAGTTAATGATCTCTACAAGCTTCTTAAATCAGCTGATTTAAGAATACAGGCAGACCTGGAGACACAGGGAAGGCACAGACATGGAGCAGCAAGGGCTAAGGAGAATCCTTTCTTCCTACCCTCTTTGCCAGGTAAAGGAAAAGAATGCTTTGACATGATGGCCATCAGAAGTTACTGGAGTTACTCAGGCACTCTCAAACTAGACGGCCGAATAAAGGCTTTCACGGATGGAAGCTGGACCAGTGCTTAGCATGAAAAATCTGGTTTTATAACAGATTTCATTATACCATACATACTACTTCTAAGAGTGCCTACTGATGTCAATAGAAAAAGATGCCTTATCCTTGCAAATTATTCTGAAGAGTAAACTCCCTGGCACTGCTCTCTAGTTCCTTCCCTTTCTCAGTAAGCATCCCAATTTTGCAGGAAAGTCCCTTCCTTTTCTAAAAGAGCAAAACACCTTTTCATGCTCTCATCTAGAGAGCGTCTAGAGCACTCACTCCAGGCTTTCATCTTCTTGCTTTGATTAAATCCCGCTCTATTCCTTGGCTATCTTGCAAAACCCTGGAGGTTGACTGCTTGTGGGATTGCAGTGTACTGACTTCCCCACTCAGCGTGGAGATGGGAGCTATGAAGCAAGGTGATATGTACATCATAGCTGCTGTAACAGCAGTAGGGAAGGCTTTCCTAGAGCAGGTGACAGACTAGGTGCATGTTTACCCAAGTCATAGAACTCTACCATGACTTCCCACTGGAGAGCCTTTTCTCTAAGATCTCTCACAATATTCCGAGAGGCAAGTAAAGCTTCCTGAAAGCAGCTGGTTCCTGTGTTATCCACACGAGAATTGGCCAGTTTCTGAAAAATCATCTATTTTTAAACTAACCTTTGAGCTCAGAAGCATAAAAATCTAAACTGCCATGCTCTTGTGATTCAGATTTTTTTTCCACTTGGCAAAACCCCTCTTTTCTCTCCATTTTATATTTCTTTAGTTGCAGCAGAAGGACAGCTATAGACTCTGAACCTAAAACTTCAACAGTGGATAATGTTTCCATGATATAGAAACAGCATTAAATGATTTTTAATTACTTCAGAATCTACTTGTACATGAAAATTCTCAAATACCAACTTCAAGAAGAAGAGATTGTTGAGAATGAGGGGACAAGTGCTTGGCCTGCAGAAAGAATACACTGTCCCCATGGGATAAGGTAAAGAGAAGGAGAAGCAGGAAGCATCTCCCTTGCCATGCCAAAGGAATGTTACTGACTTGGCAAAGAAAGGGTTTTTTCAAAAAGGTTTTCAAAAGGGTAAGAAAAGGAGCAAAGCACAGGTTAAAACCAACTACTTCATCTCCCTTCAGGTGTGTTGCTTCTTACTGACCAGTGAAGAAAAGGGAGGAGAGAGCTGCTACAAATTATTGGTTACATTATGTGAGAAAACACTTAGCAAAGCTAAATGCCAGGTATAAAGACAGATGAAGATATGTTCAGGCCAGCACTAGTTTAGCTGAATTGTATCCTGCAGAAAATCGATTCCAGGATATATTTTTCATTCACCTGTATTATGAACAATGTTTAATAAATTTTTTGTTCAATGCCGTAACCTCTTTAAACAACTGATAATCAGTGGCCTAATGCTGTTGCCTCTACATAATTTTTGCTGATTTCCATGCCTTTTGGGGTATGTATATTTGAGGGTTAACTAATTAGAGCCGCTTTTGGCCTCAACTGCCAAGATCATTTCCATACAGAATGGTGGGTTGAAAAATTGCATCCACTTCAGCGATGACTGTCCTACATAAACACTGACTGGGTCGTGAAACCAAAGAAGCCATTCAGCTGTGTATATTTCAAACACCACTCTTATCTTTAATGCTGCCAGAATAACAAGATGATTGACTGGCCAGTGGTCCTCCTTCACTGGGAGATGTGAGGCAATTCATTCCATAGAGCCTTGCTGGAATCTGGGGTCCTTCCACAGGTTTCTAGCCTGAGAACTTCTAACCATGTTTTTTAAAAAACTTGTATTTAATAACGACTAGTAAATTTAAATGCTAGTTGCTCTTCAAGACAGGAAGAGATACACCTATACATTTCAAGACTACTATGTCATGTAAGCAGACTACATATTAAAATTATGTGCATACACTTCTAACATTTCCTGACTTTGAGATTATCATCTTACATGTGGGAGGAAAAGAAGTTTTGTGCATATTTTCTTAGGTTTAAAACCAAAGACAAACTCAAAGCCTCACCCAATCTGCTATCATAGCAGGTCACACTGACATAACATGTTCAAAAACAAAGCTGGAGCCTTCAAACACATTACGTTAATGTTTCCTCTTGAGCAAACTGAGTAATTGGTAACAGCAACAGCCTTAACTTCTAGATAGACACGTCTGGAGAGGAGGAGAGAAATACACACCCTGACGATGAATGAATACAACTGTTTTCAAAAGCAGGAAACAGCAAGACTTGGGATTCCCGAGTTCAATTTTAAATGCATTAGAAAAATGTTTCCAGTAATCGCAGGCATCCTTCCATGTACTCTCTATTCCTCCATGCTCCAGCTTCTTCTGCTCTTCTCCTAGTTATCTCCCACCCATCATTTCTCAGCCTATCCTGCACTGTTTAACATTTATACTATACGTTTATAAATATGCCGTATTTTACTTCCCTCTTCCACCCAACAGAGATACACAGAGAAAACTTTTCATTATATTTTTAAAAGACATTCCTTGGCAATTTATTATATGTGACTGTCTAAGCCAACAAAGCAATAGGTCAAATTCAGCCCTGGATTACCTCCCACAAATTCACTGGAATAATGCTGAGGATGAATTTGGCTCTAAGACTTTTGTTAGAGAAGCAGTTGTTTGCATTCACAAGTCATTTACCAAACAAAATGAAGAAGTCATCCAGTAACACGGGGAGTACAATGGCACAAGCAAACATTTGAACCTGAAACAGATGAAAGAAGCAGCAGCCAAGAGCAATAAACTCATAAGGAAATGTGGATGCCTTTGACTAAGGCCAGACAGACATTTATTGGAAGCCAAGATTAGTAAGCCTTACCACTTATAGTTACGTGATCATCTTTGGAGGCACTCTGTGTTTCTTTTAACTGGATCTCTGAGCTCACATCCACTTTTCTTCCAGACAACTGTAAATAGGCTTTGAGAGAGGCAGGTACCTTGACTGTAATAGAACCTGGTATAAATTTAAATGAAAGCTAGTTAGTTTAACATTGAGATCAAAGCATGAAACAGGCAATTATTTAGCTAACATGAATCAAATCATCGTTTGTTTGTGGGTTTTCATTGGTTTGGGTTGTGGTGGTTTTGGGGTTTTGTTTTGTTTTTTGGTTTGTTTGGGGTTTTTTTTGTTAAGAGCCTTCAGACACAATAACCTCTTTTTTTTGTCTCTGAAAGGATAAATGAAGACATCTTCATTTATCATAACCAGAATACTGTATGTCATATGTAGAAAACAGTATCACAGTATTTCCTGGGCAAACATGAAAATTAACATTGACATATACTGCTAGCAACGGCTCTTGGTAGAGGATCTTATTACAGGAATGACCAAGGGAAGCAAATATAGATCTCACAATTATTATGACTTTAGTTTCATCTTCTAGTTGCATATTTACACTCCTAAGCAAGGACAGGAGATGGGATTTGATGATTAATCCAGCCACTGCATGGCACATTATGAAAGAACCGCTCCTCTGGAACAGTGAGATGCCGCTCACATACTGTTAACGCTAGCAATTGTCTTTGCTTTACTGCACAGGGCCAGCTGCTCACATCCTTGAACAGATGCAGTCTCAAAAGTCACTAACCAGTTTAGACGATGTATCACTAAAATCTAAACTACTAGCAAAATTGCAGCTTTGGTGGCCCGAATAATTCTACCCTTGAAATTAAAAACAGAAATTCTGATTTCTGCTTCCCCTACACATGTGCTTCTGTGCATGAGACTGAAGGCAGACGCTTGGCCCCCACGTTAGTCATATTTGGAATTACTCAGTCACAATGTTTGGAAGCTGTGCCCTATACATTAAAACAAAAACCTACCAAAATTTAGAATACACTTTCTGTATATGTGCTCCTTAGTTTTTGCCCATTTCCAACATTCAGAAAAACATAAGAAAGTTTCTTTAAATACACCCCAAAAGCTGAAGCAGAACATGATAAGAAAACCAAAGTTATAACCACTAAGTAGCAGTCAGAAAGCAACCCTAGCTATGCAATTTAAATTCAGCAGAATCACTTGCTTGTGACAGTCCTGATGAACAAATAACTGTCAGTATAATTTAGGCCTAGATTTTGCTGGGTACACAAAAGCCCTACAATAAGAAAGGGAAAAGGTCTTCATCTTTGGGTCCTCCTTGGAGAGCTGCTCAGTGATGTGACTCATAAAGTCCAACACACATGCAGCTAATTTATCACGAATGGGACATTTTCTACACTGCAGCTGTCAGCAGTTACTCTGGATTTACGGGGTAAAAGAAAACAGAACTTCATCAACTTTGCCTTTACTAAACTGTGCTGCCAGAAGAGATGTCAGGCAATGTTTTGAAAATAACATTAATTTTATGAAATACATTCCTCTTTGCTGCTAATTCAAAGAGACATAACTTAGCATTAAGCGATTCAAAAGGTAACTAGGAAATAATTTCTTTGAATAAACTTCTAGGAATAAATTTCTTTGCACTAATGGAACCAGAATAGCTTGTACAGAAGAATGGCACACAAGTGATTTCAATGCATTCCCTTCATTATTCCCCTTCTGAGTAACTGCTAGGTTTTAATAGGGCCTTGTCAGGCCCTTTAACAGGCATTGTCTCACAGACAACAAGAGAAGAGTACCAAATACCATGTTCATTTAAACCACCTGAAGTGTCTGATACAATGTTAAAGTCAACTATAGAAATACTGTAGTGGGGTTTTTTTTGCAAAACTAGGACTAACAAGATGTATTCAGGGCTTTGTTATTTGCCATTCAGAACATACAATATTGTAAAACTATGAATCCAACTTTAGGAGTGAGCTTTTAATTAAGAAGTGAAATTCTAGTGAGTAACCAGGACTAAAAAAAAGGAAGAATGGTAGGGTAAAGCCCTCTCATCTTTGTTTTTCTGACTTCCAATTTCAATAATGGGACATTTCACCAGGAAAAGGCAGGAAAAAGAAATGTAAACATGTGATGGTTGTCACTCCGCACATACATATATCAGCACCATGGAGTAAACTGTGCTCAAGGCAAAGGAAGATTGTAATCCAAGTCAATTCTGCAGAATTGTGCTGGGCAGATTGCCAAGACAAAAAGAAAGTATTGAAAAATAAAAAAATTCTGTAATCCATTCTGTAATCATTGCCCCTTACAGAGTTTACTGTATTATAAGTATTTATACACATTTTCTATTAATGAGGTAAAAAGGAATGTAGATAACCAACAATCACAAACTCATTTTTTCCAGACAGATAAACAAAAAAGCCCCTTACCCCCTCTCCTTTTACATCATAAGCTGCCACAAAAAATATTTTTTTAGTTTGCTAACCTTTCTGGGATTGCAGATCCACTTTTCTTAATTGACTGACATAAACGTCTATTGCCCCATGATGTGTAGAAGCTTTTAGACTTCCATCTGATGAATCTAAAAAAACAAAAGAAAAAGGAAATAAAAGAACTTGTGTATCATTCACTCTTTTAAAATAAAAATTTGCTAGAATCTTTCTTTGTACTTTGAACTGATTTTGTCAATTCTTCTGTGTTTGAGAAGCATCTTATATTCATTTACTGAATATCAGACTTCTCTTAGAAAAACAGGTTTCTGAAAAAACTTATCTTTCCAGTCCAGAATTGCAGCATACACCGGTCCCAAGGCCATAGCCCTGCAGGTGTTGCTGGACTTGTAGCATCTACAAGGCCTCAACAACACTCCCCTCTTTCTACAAGGATGAATTCATCTTCATGCAAAGATCAAACACAAAATTTGAAAACTAAGATCTATTTTAGTTTCCAAAAGAGTTCATTTGCTCAAACTCTGCACAGGGAGAACTTTACCCAGGAAAGCTACCCCATGCAAACAACAAGCAGTTGTGCATTGTAACATGTTGTTACACAGAACAACTGTGTTATAAGGTTTCATAAAGTCTGATTCACTACATCTGCATTTTAAACAAGTATTTGAGATAACTATTGCACTTTAATATACATAGGAAAACAACATCTGTTCTTTGCCCTGGAATAGAGACACCTACATTTTCTTCTATACCTTACTAGCTGAAATTTATGATAACAAAACCTTCTGAAGAAATCTTTTTACAAATAGAAAGCCTTTAAGAAGCCTTAATTGTATACTTGAGAAGTAGTCTTTAATTACTTGCAATATATTCCAGTTTTAAATACACATATTTCCACAATATTACCGTAAAGTCCTAAAGAGTTAACTTTTGAACTACTGAACAGACCTATAGCTGATAAAAATTGCAAAGAAATTATGAAGCAACTCTAGAGAAGCATAAAAAAATTATGTGTGAACATAAGCAAAAGGCAGTCAGTGAAATATCTTTTTAGATACACTGCTAGAAATGAAAGTATTGGCAAGAAATCTTGAAATACTAATAGAGCCTGGTTTTTTTAGTTTCTGGATGTGCACAGAAAAAGAAACACAGTCAAACTTTCACAACTAGGTAAAATAACAAAGTCAAACCTGAATGAAACTTCCATTTTAAAAAGTAAAAACATTAATGAGAGAATGAAGTTGATTAATTATAACAAGGATGTCTAGCATTAATGCCTTAAACTTGCCATACAGTTTTAGCTCTAAACACACTCATCTAGAGCTTTTCTGATGCCAGATCTCAAGCACAGATGTAGAAGATCAGTGCACTACATACAAAAGTAAAAACACAGAAAGGGATTATTATCCCACAGCTAAAACTGATTTCTTTGGAGGGGAAAGGAATTTAAAAAAAAAGTAGCCAATCCTTATTTAGTCAGCTGAGAAACTGAGACTGTCTTTGACTAACAAGAAAACAATAACGACTAGAATTGGATGGGAATGTTTTTCCCATCTCAGTAGACTGAAATCAAATCTAGTAACAGCCAAACACTGAGACTCCACATAACCTTGACAGAGGTTTTGTTGGCAACAGATACAGGAAATACCCAGCCTCTGACTCTTCTGCTTTAAACAAAACATGCAATTAGTTTCTTTACCTGCACTATGAAGAAAGAAGAGTCTCCTGTGATAGGACAGCAACCCTCTCCAGGGAGAACAACTGCTAACAGTCAGTACAATACCACCAGCTGATGGTACTTTACAGGGACCAATGTTTATTCAGTGAATCCTCCCTCTTCCCATTCTTCAAATGCAAAAGCAGCTCTTGTGAGATTCTTTACAGGGGGAAGATGCCTTTTGCAAATCTATTAGCCCTACTTCAAGACTGAACAGAGTTTCCTTCTAGATTTTCAATTTTATACATATATATTTACGTACATAAAAAAAGAACTCTAATTTTGTGAGAGAGACTGGATTCTGTTTGCAGAAGGCATAAACAGAATAAAGGATGCAAGAAGAGGGCAGTAGGCATAGGTTCACCAAGGCACAGATTTACCTTGAAAGTAAAAAACAAAAAAAACCCCACAAAACAAAAAACAACTTGAGGGAAAGCGGAACACTGTTTTGGGAGGATGACTTCCCAGATTTTGACTCCCAGAGTACACCACTGAACAGAAGTTTCTTTTATATGAAGAAGAAAATACAGCAAAGTTTCAAAAACACTGAGAACTTCAGTAGCATTAACCAAATACCAAAGCTGACATTACAATACCTGTTTAGCTTTGATCTACAGAAGTAACATGAAATATATTTTATGGAAAAAACTGAATATGATTTATGGAAAGAATTTTATGGATATGATATTAAATACAAATGCTTAGATACAAATAAGAACGCCAAGAGATTTAAAGTTGTTCATCACTTCTGCAAAGTCTATTAACAATGCTGTTTAAGTTTTGTGTCTCTGTAACTCTAAACAAATGAGAAGGGAAAAAACAGAAAATGGATTAAAAACAGCAAAGATGAGGTTATATAACAAAAAAGGCCAAATTTAAATAAATAAATAAATATTTCAACAAGAAAAAGTAACACAATCTGGTAGGACAAAATACATAACTGAAATAATGGAGACAATACATATTTTACAGTTATGACAGAACAAAACTAAGGCAATTTATTTTTAAATATACATCCAATGTTAGCTGAGATCCATGTGAATAACTGAAGGTAAAAACAAGAAAAAAGTGCATAGTTTGAATTCAGAGTTTGCTAAGGACTGACAAGTCAAAGAGAAATACAAGGATGAATTGTTCTACTGGAAACAGAACAGATGGTCACTCTTGAGCAACTTCAGCTATTTCAGAAGTTACTGGTACAGGAAAAAAAAAGGGGGGGGGGAAGCTGGTGGGAACAGTGAAGCAAGATGTCCTTGACAAAGTTTTTATTAAGCTTTCTGAAAAATAAGTACAGCTTGAAGAATAAGACCTAAGTCACATAACTTGAGAAAGGCTATACAATTGATGATCACTGAAAGGCCCAAAGGTAACAAAACTGAAACATCATTCGCAACATTTAGTATCTCTTCTTCCTCCATTTTATAAAGACAAGTACTGAAGAAAGGATTAAACACAAGTGATCTTTCCTTTAATCTAAGCAAAAACATATGCACTTTTCCTAATGGCACATAATGACTGACCTTGCTCATGTTAAAATCAGTGACAAAACTGATTTCAATAGGAAAATATAAAATAGTTATTATGATTTGGTTAAAGATAGGAGAAAGTATAAGATTCCAACATATCTGAAGTGTGAGGAAGATTTAATTCCTACTTAATTGGCCATATTGTTTGTTGATAAAGACTGGTCAATTTTGTTTTAGTTCATTGTTCTAAAACTGTCACATAAAAATATTATGAGAAACTGAAATGCATACATTAAATAGACCAATTGCACATACTACTAAAGAAATCATTAGCAGTCCTTACCATACTCACCATCCAGACCTGGCAAAACAAATGATGTAACACAGAAAGCAAAGAAATCTCTCATGAAAACAATTCCTTTGCTAACTAAATTGTCCAGATTATCCTTTTACCTCTAAATGATCTATTTTCTACCTCGATTTTAAAGTTATATCTATTGGTTTTAAAGGTTATAGTCTCTTTTGGATAACTTACTCTGTTCCAAAAAAAAAAATCATTACATGCCTCAGTCCTGTACCATAACACAATGTGCCAAGTACAACTTCACCCTGATAAGCCTCTGACCTACTGTACATCAAATGGGATCTTCCCCTTTGAATATCTATCTACATCTATGCATCTTCTTCCACAGACTATCATACTCTGTGTTAATCATCTCTGCAAACCAATTAGCTATAGGTCTCTACTATTTTAAATGTTTAAGACACTACTAGGGTGAAAGCAACTTCTGAAGAGGTATGTGCATCTAGTCAGGAACACGACTGTCAATAATACGAAATCCCCACAAAACCTCCTGTGGAAGTTTCAATAAATTATGTAAAACTGCTCATCTGTGAGCCTTGAGTTGGAGGCCAGTAACTAGCAGTGAACTCCAGGGTCAATACTGGGCCCAGGCCTGTTTAACATCTTCATTAATGATCTGGATGATGGAGCAGAGTGTACCCTCAGCAATTTTCTGATGACACCAAACTGGGAAGAGTGGCTGATATGCCAAAAGGTGATGCTGCCATCCAGAGGGAACTGGACAGGCTGGAGAAATGGACTGGCAGGAACCCCATGGGCCCCACAATTTAAGAAGGATGTCCTTGAATGCATCCCGAGGGCAACAAAGCTGGTGAAAGGGCTGGAAGGCATGTCCTATGAGGATCAGCTAAGGACTTTGGGCTTGTCTAGTTTGGAGAAAAGGAGGCTGAGGGGCGACCTCGTTGCTCTCTACAGCTTCCTGAGGAGGGGAAGCGGAGAGGGAGGGGCTTAGCTCTTCTCCCTGGGATCTGGTGATAGGACGTGTGGGATTGGTTCAAGCTGTGCCAGGGGAGGTTTAGACTGGACATTAGGAAGTGTTTCTTTACTGAGAGGGTAGTCTAACACTGGAACAGGCTGCCTAGAGAGGTGGTCAATGCCCCAAGCCTGTCAGTGTTTAAGAGGCATTTGGACAATGCCCTTAATAACATGCTTTAGCTTTTGGTCAGCCCTGAAGCGGTCAGGAAGTTGGACTAGATGATCATTGTAGGTCCCTTCCAACTGAAATACTCTTTATTCTAAGAGTAAAAAAAAAAAAAAAAAATTGCTCCAAATACAATATAAACTTAAGTATTAATGTAACAACATCCAGAATCTTCAGCACCATGATATTAGATGCTATAATACATACATGATGTAACATCACCAAAAATTGTTTATTGCTAATGGAACACATACAGAAATAAAAAAGTTTATTCTTCCAAGCTGCAAGGAAAACGCCATTGTTTTCAGGCAGCAGCTACTTTTTCTGTATGCTCCAATTTGTGGAAGTAGTTTCTACAGGACATAAACTCTGTCCAGAATGCTATATAATCTAAATTCGAAAGGACACAGAGAGGGAAGGGAAACACGGAAACAAAGACTGATGATAAAACCAAGTAGTAACTCAGTAGATATTAACTCATAGTGGACTTTTTTTTTTTTTTAAACTTTCATTTTTCATAACCTGACACCTGAGGGATAAGAAAAAGCAGCTGATTCCAACCTATGTGGAGAGCAGAAGCCTTAGTATAGGATGGTGTGGAAGAAAGCATGGGAACAATGGGAAAAAAAATTACAGGTCTGTCATCAGCAGAACACAGAAGAAGGTCAAGTTCTGAGATACAAGGTTGGAAGATGAAGGACACTTAAAATGAGAGCCAGAACATTAACATATATCAAGAGAATGGCAAAGACTAGATCAATAAAACTAATTGCTATTAAGAGACAAGTATGTGCATGGATTTTTTTTTTTTTTTTTTTACTTAAGAGCTGTACTTTATGAAGTACAGTAAATGCCTTTAATGGAATTCAGAAATGTGGTTTTTAATTTTAAAATTCCCTAGATCACATATTAAAAACTGAATCCTCAAGACAAAACTCACAGATGCAGCATTACTTCTAAATACACTAAGTTGTTTATTGTTCTTTTTTTCAGTTACCCAAAACTGGTGGGTTTTTTTGTTTTGTTTTCCATAATTGATTCCCTTCTTAAAATAAAACTTTCGTGTTTTGTCTCAGTACTAGGGAATTGCCTTATGATGACACTCATCACAATGGAGGATCTCAGACACTTCAGTTCACTTTCATGTCAGGACTATACTGAAATTTATGTTTTTGAGAAAGTTGAAATATTCTTAATTGTTAGGTTTCAGTTGATTTAAGACAGTGAGCATCACAGCAAGTCACTAAAGCCTTCAGGTCTAGTGTGGGTTACTGAAGAACAAAATTAGCAGAATAAGGCAAACTGACACTGATATATTTTTTAAAAAGTAATTAGAGTTTCTTGGATCTCAATATACAGTTTTCCTTGACAGAATAAGTCCCTGGTGCCCATAAGCTGGTTAAGGTTGTTTCCTCCCCTCTGAAATGAAACAACCACCATAAGCTTTATCGTTTCTGACTATACCAAACGCAGAAGATTCATTTCTTCAATGCATAATTGAGTTAAACATAAATAATCCATATGGAAAAACAGTATCTTTTGGAGCTGGTAGGGGAAAATTTGGCTTGGCAGCAGAGTAGAGAATACATAATCAGACCATACTAAAAATATTGAGAAATAAGCAAATTCTAGCAGGACTGTACATGAGCCAGCAGTGTGCCCTGGCAGAAAAGAAGTCCAGCAGTATCCTTGGCAGTATTAACTGGAGCATGGCCAGTGTATCAAGGGAAGGGATTATTCCCCTCTACTCAGCACTTATTAGACCACACCTGGAATACAGCATCCAGTGTTGGGGCTCCCAAGAGAAAGGAGATATGAATAAACTGGAGTGAATTCAGCAGAGAAGCACCGAGATAGTGAGGGCATGGAACACCTTCCCCATCAGGAGAGGCTGAGGGATGAGGGCTTGCTCAGCCTGGAGAACTGACTGCTTCAGGACCTGACAGCCCCCTAGTATCTGTGAGGGGGGTGATTAAGAAGACAAAGCCAGGCTCCTCAGAGTGGTGCATGACGAGAGCACAATAGATAACAGACATAAGTTGAAAAAAGAGAGTTTCAGTCTGGATAGAAGGAAAATCTTTTTCACCCTGAGGACAGTCAAGCAATGGAACAGTTTGCCCAGAGAGGCTGTACAGTCTGCATCCTTGGAGGTTTTCAAGATCACAGGATAAAACCCTGAGCAACCTCACAGTTGGCATGGCTTTGAGCAGGAGGTTGGAGACTAGAGACTGCTTGAGCAAGGGGGCTGGACAAGATGACCTCCAGAAGTCCCTTCCAACCTCAACCATCCTATGATTCTGCAACTTCCGGAGATCTCTTCCAACCTGAGTTTTCCTATGAATTTACCAAATAAAAGTTTAAAAGATTAAGCTAGTTCTAAAAACAAAATACTCCATTACTTTTTGTAAGATAATTCAGGTTTCTAATGACTATTTTACATAGTAACTTAAGCTAGAAGTAAAAATAGGTCTGGTTGTTTTAAATTAAGAAGTCATTCAAAACCCATTGAACATTTGTTAGAAGTAGGAAGCTTCTAGTATAGGGTTGGAGAACAATTTGTCAGTGACTAACAAAGTTCACAGTATAGAAAAAGAAAGAATAACCCCTACTTTTGTATTTTAACAATGTCAGTGTGAAATGCTGCCACATGCCAGATGCATAAAATCGGACTGAATTGTGGGTAGAGTCTTCAAAAAATAAAAATAGGTTTATACAAACAAGTAATACCAAAATAAAGAAAAAAACAAATAAAACTATTCTTTAAATAATAAAAAAGTAGAAAATTAAAGGGAGAGACAACAGCATTGGTTTCCTGTTTTAATGCAGAATTATACAAGAATAAGAAACTGAATACAATCGCTTGTATTTTCTCCAAAATATTTTGAAAAAAATCCAGCAGTCTCAACTCAAGCTGACTTGTAAATAAATCTCTCAAAAGCAAAGGATACATCCCCAAAAATCTAGAGAGGAGTGCATTTTTTCAGTTAACTGATAAAATTCTGCCTCCAGTGAAAAAAATAACTACATCCCTATGAAAACCCAGCCAAGAAAGTTGGAAGATCTGAGTTTTTCTTCCTATTTCTCTCAGAAAATCCCTGTCAAGCCTCTGGAAATCCAACAAGCTATCTTGTGGCGTAAATTTGTCATACACAAAAACCTTTCACACTTTCTTTCTCAAGTTTTTAGAGTTGAACCACTAGATCTTAAAAGTCTTCTGCCTTTGGAAAAATCCATAAAAATCTAAAGGATGTTTAATGCTCTTTAGGAAAAGATTAAGTTTAACTAGTGCTTTCAGAACTGAAATCTGAAAAATAAAGTTTATTCAGTTGTAAGATGTGTCTTAATGTTTAAGCTGAACCTGGTTAATTAAGGAAAATAATCATCATCTGTTGATGGAAAAAGCTACCTCCTGTGTTAAGAAACCTTTATTTAAACACTCTTCATACTCTGAGTTTATTTAACAGAAGGAAAAACAGACTAGCAAGCTTAATTTAATTCTGTGGTTTAATGACTAACTCATAAGAATGTGTATTGCATTCATTTTCCAGGAATGTTAATATAGATCGCTTAGAAACATAAGAAGAGTTGTAACAGTACAGATCGCCCCTAGACAATGCTTAATGAGTGACTATGCTTACTACCATTAGCAGAAGTCTTTGAGATTTGGGCCTGTAACCAAATTTATTTACAGAAGGGGAAATCCTTCTACGTACATTCAAGAGACACTGAGCCTTGTTTATGATTCTGTTACTTCAATTTTCTGCCATAGAAATAACCAGAACTTGAGTTTCTCACTTTTGTGTTGATGTACTATAAAATGCAACTGATACAATGTATACCTTAATTGATAACCCCGAGTTATCCTGTTTTATAAAAGTTCAAATTCCTGAATGAAAATGTATGAGCCGTCTTTATTTCTGAATGGAAAACAATGATTAGCGTAACAGTTTGGAAACATTGTTTAAGTTATCACAAGCCTTCACCCCCCCCAAATATGTAATACATCAATGATTAATGCTTTGTGATATAAAAGCTAAACATAGCTAATCATTGATATCAACAAATGTAAGATAGAGACCTAGGTTAAAGGAAAAATTATTGCATTTGATGTACGCTTAGTGTTTTCTCTTGTCCTTTTATCCCATCTTAATCTAAAAGACGACACCTAGACTCAGTCTAACTTGTGCAAAGCCCAGCGAGTATTGTGGTATCAAAAGCCAGACAGTGTGCCTTGCCCAGCTGCAGAAGGCTGGCAGTCAAGTTTGGAAAGGATGTCCTTCAGCTACACAGCTATCAGTGCTACTCCTGAAAAGAAAAGAGGGCAGAAACATCTGTGAGGAATCACCTCCTTTTTACTTTCCCTGTGAATATCTAGCTTTTAAAAAGGAGAAGGCAAGAGTGAGAAAAGAGATATCTCGGAGAAAAGGTAGAACCTACCTACTGTGATACTCCCTGTTTTGGTCTGAAGGCTGGTGTTACCTGTTAAGAAAAGAAAAGGGGAAAAAAATGTAAGAAGTAATGTTAAAAGACATGTAATTTCTGCCACTCTCTCATCCTCCCAGGAGGATAACATTGAAAAATAAGGTTGATCACAGTAATTGAGTCCAATTTAGTAATACACAGTATTCACAACAATTTTCAGATCTTTCAGAAGAGGCCTTTAAAAATTGCAATTGGATCAAGCTCTGCTCCTATCTTCTATAATTACACAGTAGTAAACAATCATTAGGGTAGAATGCATTCCACTGTATATGACCTGTAGTGTTTTTCTTAGTGGTTCGTGGGCTGAAAGCTAGAAAAGCAGCCTATCATCAAGAGTCTTAAATTCCTCATTTCAAGCACATACTCTACAAAATACTTAGGGGTTCTGAAAATCAGAGTCGAAACAAAACCAAATTTCAATGAACTTGAAAGACACTTGGCTTTACTGTTTGCTGTTTTTAAAAGGCACACTATAATTATCCCACCCTTTTCCCCATTTTATCATGACTAGTACTTATTTTTGTACAACCTACAAAAAAAACTTAGGGTTTTGTCAGCTAGCAACTCCCATGGAGAGTTGGCTAGATTATACTCTGCCTGAATACAGCCCCTGGGACTTGCAGATTTGCTGGTCTGTTTGTTTTTCTGGGGTTTTTCATTTTCTGTTTTGATAAGCAGGTTCTTGAAAAATACTAAACATGTAGAAATCAAACTCCTATTAACCACAAACTTATATGGCAGATAAGACTAATGTCGCATAATGTAAACATATTAGTGTGATAAGCTTACTTCAAACATTTAGCTAGAACAAAAGGTGCTTTTAAAGCAGATAGGAATGTCCTGTTGTGTTGTGACCTGCACTGTCTACAGATAGTGCACAGAAGTGTACTTTTGGTCATGTAATTGTTCCATGAAGGCAAATGCTTAACTTAAAATTTTTAAGCCAGCCAAGTATTTTTTGGACACGTCAGGGCAAAGAGAGAAAGACCTGACTAGAGGTAATTACTACTTTTGATTATTACATCCAACTGACTTCAGCATTGTAGTGCAATACTATAAAGTCCAAAATACAATAGTTTTAACAGAATATTGATGACAGTGGCTTAGTGTTTCTTTTTTTTATTGCTTCTGAAGAAATAGTTATCTTTTCTATCACGTACAAGCTTTGCTTCTCCATAAACACTGTAAAACTCCAAGCTACAGTATTCCAAGTCAGGATCAGTGTAGGACCAGGGGCAAAAGATGGCTTTTGGGATATAAATAAAGGCATCATTTTACATCGTATTCTTTCCGTTCCTTCAATTTGTTTTGAAGGCTCTCAAGGTAGCAGGGTTATTCTGATGCACAGAAAAAGCAAATAATAAACCACCATGCAGCTTTTTACCACTTTGACTTTGCATTTTAAAATTTGCATCAGACTAAAGTACAATCATGCCTAAAAAGGAACAAAAATAAAATTAATTTCTACAATCCCACTTTATATACAGTGAAATCCAGGAACATAGCTGAAATTCATGGAACATATATCAGATTCTTTTCAGAGGGGATTATAGAATGCCAAGCTCAAACATGATAGCATACTAACTTCGAAACATTGCAGATTTTCTACTTTGCCTTATTCAGGTCACTGACAGGGTAAGGCACCTATATGTTCACCTTTTCCTATATATTAATCAGTGTGTAAATATATAAAGCACTTCAATAACCATGTTTTCCAGTGTGACTTTCTCACGTAATGAAATAGTTACTAGACTATGACAGAAGAAAAGGTCAAAAGCAAATATAAAGTCCTGCACATCAGAAATCAACCCTGTAAAGCAGTAAAAGTTGAGTGCTGACTGTTTGCAAAGAAGCTTTTCGGGTAAGGACCTAGGCATCTTGATGGACACCAACTTCAGTATGAGTCAGTAAAGAAGGTCAGCTGCATATTGAGCTGTATGATTAAGAGTATAGCCAGCAGGTAAAGCCCTCTTGTGAGGCTTCATTTGGAATACTGTGTCCAATTTTGGGCTTCCCAGTCAAGACAGACACTGATGTACTGAAGTTATGCCAGAGAAGGGTATTGAAAAGATAGGGGCCCAGAGCACACTACATATGCTCAGAGAGCTGGGTTTGTTTTGCTTTAAAAGGAGAAGGCTGAGGAGGAATCTTGTTGTGGTCTTCAACTACCTAATGGGAGGGTATAGAGAAAAGACAAAAGACTCTTCTCATGGTGATGCAGCAAGAAGAAAGGATAATGGTTACAAGTTGTCATAATGGAAATTATGATTAAAAAAAAAAAGTAAGTTTTTTTTCCCCACCAGAAGGATAATTCAGGACTGGAACAAGTCACCTGGAAAAGTCATGCAATCTCTGTCCTTGAGAATATTCAAAGCTCAACCAGACAAGGCCATGAGCAAGTTTGCTCTAATTGAGCCCACTTTAAGCATTAGTTTGGACTAGATGTCAAATTTCTTTCCAATTTAAACTATTTTGTGGATAAAATAAATTAATAAGTAATGCAACTCAACCCAAGACTTTGGCATAGTTGCAAAGAGGGGTTTCCTTTTTCTTCTATGTGCTCCTCTGTGGAGAAGTTTCTCTATTTGTTATTGCCCCTTGGATAAAGTAGCACATTTCTCAAGTCTCGGAGCTGTTGCCCTTTTGTTTTTCAAGTGTCAGCTCGAAAGCTCAATGGCACCTGACATCTCTAATGCCCATTACAGAAACTGATGAAAACTACTCAAAACCAATTTCTTCAAAATAATGCATTATTCATCTCTCATAAAAGTATGAAGCAAAAAAGCAATTAAGAAAGCTTGGGCACTGACAGCATTGGAATTCTACAGCCTGAGATTCAACTACAAAATGGGTCTCAGGCAGGTTTGTAAAGTTTGTGTTGCTCTGACTTCAAAGTTCTCAGTGCAAAAGCAATGAAGTCTAGCTCAGTTTTGTGCACAGATGTGCTGATTTTATGCCAACTATAATATCAGCATAGTGTCAGCTATAGGGAAACAGTGGGCTTAACTGTCCAAGAAACAATCTGTCCAAGTGTTTACAAACAAAACTACTACTAAAATTGAGCTACCTCATGAGCAGAGACTAGAAGGGAAAGTGACCAACCTTTTTCTAACATAAAATTACAATAGGAGGTTATCTTCTCCGCTAATATATGTGTTTGTGTGTCTGTGTATATATATATGCAATATAATAATTTAAAAGACTTTAAAAGTATTTGTTCTTACTATTAAAATGTGATTGAGGAGCATGATGTTTTACAGAAAATATTTTTCTGAAAAAATAGACTAGAAGTACCAAGCAAATGTTAATGTGCAATTGTTTTTAAAAGAAACAGCTAAAATAACGTTAGGTGTTCCAAACCCATTTAGTAGAGAGCTCATGAAAATAATCCTGAAGTAACGTAAGAAATGTCTGTATAATTTGGATACAATTCTATTTGTTTTCACATTGTTCTTCAGCTAAATGACAATGAGGCATTACTAAGGAAGTCACTAACTACAGCAGTTATCATTTCATTTTTGTACCAAGAAAACAAAAATAAACTTTTGGATGTGCACAGAGGCATGAACATGCTCACAAACTGATCATTCCACAGTATCATTATATCGGTTTGAAGCTAGAAAAAAACCAAAACAAAGCAAAACAGCTTATCAGACAGAAGTACCAGTAACAATATAGTCTACACGTTAGAAAAATACAGTAACAAGAAGGGGTGGGGCGGGGGGGGAATCTTATTTCTGCCTATGCATGCTGAAGTGAACTTTACCTAGCAGGTTTAGAAACCATTCTTAAATTTACTACAAATGGACAAAGGAGTTGCTCCTTTAAGGAAGAAACGAGTCATTTCTCAAGCAAGATGACAATACAAAATTGCTAAGAAATTGCAGCAAATTGCTTATAAGGCAAATAGCTGGAAATCTGGAACTCTAACTGACCTGAGTAATTTTCACTTTTGTACATCCTCCAGTTTGTTTTATTTAATGTTAAATCACCACAAATGCATTACAGCACAGTCAGAATTCAGTGGGAATTTTGTTAAATTAGAAAATCACACCAGATTCCAACCTTGCTGCTGTTTATATAAAGACACTCAAGTTAATTAGTTTTAGTTCTAGGTGAAGGACATTAAAAGGTGGATGGATTAGAGACCTTTTGCCCGCCCAATCAAGGAACAGAAACTGTCACCACTCTGTTAGTATAGGGTGCCAGCACACAGACTATTTCTGCTAAAAACTTCTAAATAGACCGAGTTCTAGCATAGTTCTTAGTAGATGCTGTAAGAGTTACTTCTCCTATGAAGAAAATAAAGGATGGAGAGAGGGGAAGAGAAGCCTCTTTATTACTTTTAGTATAATTTTCATGGCTGAATTTTAAAATATTTCACAGTATGTATGATGTTTCTTTCCTACAATATACACTTCGCTATTTCACAAGTGTGCTTATAAAATTGTTTTTAAAAAAATACAGTATGCTATATGGTAAGTTAATTCTCATCAATTCAGTTTTTAACAAATACAGAACTGTTTTCTTCCTATACTGTGTGCAGTTGATTTAGTGATAGTCTATAGCATAGTCCATTTGTTACTGTGGACATTATGAATGCCTTCAAAGCAGCTAAATTTGTGACTGTATTTCCTTCTTACCATGAATACTTCCCAGCAGAATATCACCAGCTACTGAAGACAGAGATGATGATTCTGCATAGAGATACTTAGTTTTCAGCAGCCCATCTTCAGTAGATATGTTGATGGATGTCCCCTGCAGCTTCTCTATATTCACACTCTAAGAGAAATAAACTTAAATAAACATAATGGAAAACTTGTCACCACAGTTTGAAAAGGCAGAGGGAAGTAAAACTATTAAGAGGCAAAACAAATGGAAAGCAGTTGTTGGTGCAGAACAAACAGAATCAAGTTCTTAGTTAAAAGCTACACAAAACAAAACAAAAACCTTTTCATCCAAGAGCTCTGACCAACAAGTTAATGATTCTTTCCAACATTCTTATGAATTATTACATTCATCATATAGGTGAAGAACCTAAATAGTCACAAATGGATGAAAGAAAAACTCAATTTATTTTTAAAAACCAAAACATTTCATTTTGAAAAGTAAAAATAAAGGATTAGCTTTAATAATGAAAACTTAACGTTCATACAGCATTATGACACTTAAGCATTGGTAATTAGTTTTCTGCCACCACATACTGAAACATCCACTGTCTTCGGTTACATACAGCTATTTATGCAGGTTTTTAACTGGCTCACTTTGTAGACATAGCTTTGGTGAAGGTTTGCAAAAAAGGCAGAGCTGCTCTTTTTCTCAGTATAATTGTCCATATTACCTTGGTTACTCAAACCTCTATTCTTGGACTTAAGCCTGAAGCTATATAAAGGCTTGAAAAATGAGGGATAAGAGCTCCATCTCCACTTCTTTTCAATAGAAATGGAGAGAAAGGATAAGATTTGAAAAGTTGCACTATGGATAGATTCGGGGAATAAAAGGTGATAGATGAGATTATCTATGTACGAGTAACCAGTGGTGTGACATAACCTACGCCTATCTGAACAAAACAGAACAAATCATGTGCTTGTGCAACTACCATATAAATTTAATTCTATTCTTCCCCAGTTAAACTAGACTTATGATGGAATCATGCCATAGTTCATACTTAACCCCTGCTCAAGTTGTTTTTATTTTGCTTACGTGGACTTTAAGCAAATTGCACAAAATCCTTATTCATTACATGAAACAATATATGGCCTTCTAGATCAAACCGTGCCTTATGTCAAATTATCTTTAAATCCACTTTGTCATTTTAGCATTGTCATCTTGTAGAAAAAAGTTAATACAAAAAAAAAAGTCTGCTGACCCTTCCAGTGTTGTATTATATAAAGAATAAGCTATGGAGGAAGTAAGAGGTATTCTGACAAACAGCAATTAGAGTTGCACAAACTCCATGCTGTATTGTGTCCCAACAAGTAAGCTAAAGAGGCTGTTTTAGTATGGACTATACAACTGCCAAATTATACTGTGACCTTACAAATCCATGTATACTGAGCTTTACACTGTCTTTACATCTTAAGTCATAAGATTACAGAATGAATTATTGTTTTAAGACTTTTGACATGATGCTACAATACAAAGTAGGTCTCCAAGAATGTAACAAGATACATTAACCTTTAAGAACATCTGGTGATCAAAGTGCCGTGCTAGAATTAGAGATATGTGACAGTCAGTATCTACAATCTCTGCAGTTGATGCTGCTTAGAACTATGCTACAGAATCTAAGCATCAACAGTAAACAAAACCAACGATATTAAGGCATAATTTGTCACTACTGAAAGTGACAGCAATTCAGCTTTTCAATCTTTCAATGCTTTTAACAAAACTCTAACAAGCAGAGACTTTAACAAACATAAGTTTACATTGCATCTATCCTAGGAATGTTTCCTACAGAGTACTTGTCCTGGTTTCGGCTGGGATAGAGTTAAATTTCTTTCTAGTGCTGTGTTTTGGATTTAGTATGAGAAGAATGTTGATAACACACTGATGTTTTCAGTTGTCGTTAAGTACCCTGCTAGTCAAGGACATTCAGCTTACATGCTCTACCAAGCGCTGGGAGGGAGCATAGCCAGGACAGCTGGCCCAGCTGGCCAATGGGGTATTCCATACCATGTGACGTCATGCTCAGTATATGAATGGGAGGCGTGTTCCAGGAAGTAGCGATCACCACTTGGTTATCGGTCAGCAGGTGGTGAGCAATTACGTTGTGCATCACTCATTTTGTACATTCTATCATTATCATTATTATTATTATTTTCCCTTCCTCTTCTGTTCCATTAAACTGTCTTTATCTCAACTCACAAGTTTTTCTCACTCTTACCCTTCCGATTCTCTCCCTGTCCCACTGGGGGTGGGGGAGTAAGCAAGCAGCTGCATGTTTTTTGGCTGCCTGCCGGGTTAAACCACAACAGTACTCCACTACTTCCTCACCCAGTATGGCAAAGTGTAAACCTGCTGTGGCACATGGCCAAAGCAACAAGTAAAAGAAAAGCCACTGTCATTTTAGGCTCTACGATCTGTTCTGAAGGGAGTTAAATGACTTGCAAAGAACATTTCCAATTTTAGCAGGGCCATCATTGCTATCAGCACAATGAAAATAGGGTGAGGCACACTTTAAGGGGGGGATGAAATAAAAATATCTGCATAGTTTGGGTGCAAACTGGCTGCGGCTGCCTGTGTCATTCCTGAACAGGAAAAGGAAAGCCCAAAAAGCTACATCTGTCACTATGGTATGCAAGTTTTGACTCTATTTAGATATTTATCTTATTTAAATATTATGAAGTGCTTTATTATAAACAAGCTCACATACCAACTCATCTTATTTACCAGCCTCAACTACCTTTCTTAAAAATGCACAGCAATAAAAAGAGTTGTCTCAGCACATGATAAAAAGAAGTATGAGTCAGCTAGTTACTGTAAAAAATAAAACAAGAACTAGCAATACAATGAACATTTCTTTCAGAATAACCCAGATCTGGAGGGGGGGTGAAGTCAGACTGATCAAGTATAAGACTGAAAAAGTATTGTAGGGAGGGAAAGCATAAAAAAAAAAAGGATTGCTTTGTACTGAGACTAAATATGTTTTCAATCCCAAATTCTTTAACTTTTATGAATTTTTGGCAGAACATAGATGTTTGGCTCTGCTAAACAAGCGTTATAGAAAAGTCCCCATGGCACAGATATTAGCTAATGACTCCCCAGTCAAACAAATTTGATTATTTTTGTCCATTGAATGACCAAGTTTTCTGGAAAAATTCCTTCCGTTGAGAGCAGAGCCTTGGGACTTGCAGTTACTGAGACTGACCACATGCTCAAGTTCCACCAGTTTCTTAGCCTTCAAAGAAAAAGTCAGTCCATCTTCATAAATCAGACTGAGAATGTTTTTGCACCTGAACACATTTTCAAGATGAAAACTAACATCTTGCTATGTTTAAATATGACAAATAACTCCTTCCCCACATATTCCTCTTCTTGGCCTTCCTTTTTGTGCTATCCTTGCTCAAATATTTTACCAGCGTCTTCTCCATTTTCCCCCTTAAAAATATTCTCTGTTTCTCAAGTGCTTAGTGTCTTTTACCACAATCTTTCCCTTCCCACCTCCAAGAGGGGGCTGGAAATGCTGACAAAGCCATAATTACATAATGATGACTACAACTGATGGAAGAAACATCTCATACAAACACACACAGGAGACATAAGGCTGACTGATTATTAACAGAAGTGGCCAATTGAGAAATCTCACACTGTCCTTCCTAACTACACAGCAAAGTTTGTTAATGAGAAGTTCAATAACATAAGCCAATATATTGTTTCATAGCTGTAAATTCCTGTTAAAATGACTGACTTCACTCAAGTTACTACAGTTTTACAACTGTAAGAGTGACTTCTAGCAATATTACAGACTATATAAAGAAACACTTCAACTTAATCTTCATGAAGTTTGTTTTATTGTTTCAGAAGGACAGTATGTCTGAAAAAAGTTAGATTTTTAAATAGCATTTAAAGACTCAAAGCAAAACAACTATAGTTCTCATTTTCATGAACTATATTTTCATGTAGATATAGATCTAATTATTTTTCTACCATCCACTTGTTTTTATCAACACCAGCAAGATGCTATTTGAAATGAACTCGATGGACTGCACTGGTGTAACAAACTAGTTCAGGACAAATGACTAAGCAGCACAACTCTAATTTAAAGACCACCACCATGCTAGTATGTTGTGAACAGCATGAATCCACAGCAGTCAAAGCACTTCGTAGATTGCACTCAATCTTTTTCACTGGTATAAAGCAAGGATTCCAGCTTTCGGATCTTTCCAACAGAAGCCCTCTGCAGGAAGATGGATGACACATCAAGAAAGCTGCAAACTACCTCTGCCCTGTTCCACTCCCTGAGGCTGCTAGTGGCTTAGGATGGATCCTAACTCCACTAACTAGTAATAGTCTCAAGGGAACTGCCAATCAATTAGCACTGATCAGTCCCACTGTGGCATCAACAGAGCATGTCACAGTCAGACCTTACCCACTCTGCTTTATGCTGGGAGGTCTTGCTGGGATGAAGTAATGTTCATGAAGAAATATCAATGATAGAGTCATAGAATAATTTAGGTTGGAAAAGACCTTTAAGATCATCAAGTCCAACCACAAACCCAACACTGCCAAGTCCACCACTAAACCATGTCCATAAGTGCCACATCTACACAACTTTTAAATACCTCCAGGGATGGTTACTCTGCCACTTCCCTGGGCAGCCTGTTCCAGTGCTTGACAACCCTTTCAGTGAAGAAATTTTTCCTAATATCCAGTCTACACCTCCCCTGGCGCAACTTGAGGTCGTTTCCTCTCGTCCTATCGCTAGTTACTTGGCAGAAGAGACCAACGCCCACCTCACTACAACCTCCAGTCAGGTAGTTGTAGAGAGCAATAAGGTCTCCCTTGAGCCTCTTTTTCTCCAGGTTAAACAACCCCCAACAATAGTACAGCTACAGCAGCCTCTGGGCTCTTTTGTACGTAAAAGGCAGGCTAGCATCCACTACAAAGAAATGCAGATAATTTAATTTTGACTGTTTTTGGAAAATCCAATGGCAAGTTGTTAGTTTACAGCAGGACATTAAGAACAGCTTACAGCTGTCTCTGTGTAAGTGAACATATGATCTCAGAACCCAATCTACAGGGTGTAGAACAGTGCCAAATGGCACTTCACAGAGACGATTTTGGACTCCTAGAACTTAATAATTTGATCTCAATTCTATCCTTGACTAGGGAGAGCTACCTGCACTCCGATTCTTCCCAGTGCTGCTGGTGTTAACAGTACCTATTGATTCTGTCAGAGTACTGCATGCATCCAAGCTACTTCCAGGCTTGGCTTGGCTCCACATGTTCATATAGCAATGCATCCTAATGCAACCAGCTGCATGGACATTATGATGCCTAAACATTCAAGTTGAGCCTAAAAACCAGACTGGGTGTGAGAACTGTAGTATTATGTAAGGGAGCCTAGCTCTACATTGTTTTAAATAATGGAGAATTGACTGCTTATAGCAAGAAACAAAACCAGATTACAGTAGTGTAAGGTTTGTCTCATACTGCCATCTGCTGAAAAAAGCAAGCTACTTCCCTATAAAACTGTTTTCCTGTTCATGATTCTTCTCACTGCATGTCATAACAAGATTACACGTGATTATATTTCCTCAGCTGCAAAGAAATATACAAAACCTTAGACTCTTCCATTCTTACAACCATATAATGCTGGAAGTGAACAGCATGTACAAATATCAAGCCACTATTCATGAGACACTAAATAAACTCATGGGCCTGTTGCAGAATCCAGGTGCCTAGATACTAGCCAAGTAAAAAGTTTAAGAGTGTTGTGAGGGTCTACATAAGTGAAGTTGTATCAGCTAGCACAACCTCTGTGTTGATGGAACGATCACATACTTATTACTGCTCTTTCTGTGGAGCCTGCTTACTAATCCAAATCAAGCATAAGATAAGATAGTATAATTAAACAGCCAAATGTAAGTTAACAGTGAAATGACAATCAACCAATGAGGGTCATTAAATATTCTTCAGCAGATTCTTCAAAATTAGTCATTTTGCAACAGACAAGCCGAACAAGCCATTAAAGAGAAAGTTTTACTTCTTACTTACACCCTTCTCTGTTGCACGAATATCTGTATTTCCATAAAGTGTTCCAAGACCAATTACTTTGCCACCGTTTGTCCGTATATCAATTTTATGGCTCTGAAAAAAAAAGTTTAAAAATCATATGGTTAGGATAATCATAATTAAAAAACAAGTTATCTGGTTTTTCAAGCTGTACCACAATGACCACCTTTTATCACAAACTTCCATTTTACTGTGAAGGTTTCTTCTCAAGTGATTGCCAAATGTGCTGTTTATTTCCAGTGGAGTCAAACTCAGATCAAGTCACCTTTCTTTGTAACCAGAAACAACACAATTTATTCTCAGTTCAGGTGGGTTTTTTGGGTTTGGTTTGGTTTTTTTAACCAGAAAAACATTCACTCAGCATATATTAAAATAAGCAGCAGGGGAAGAAAGAAGGAACTTTGTGTTTCATTTATACTCCATCCAGAAACCAAGGTATACATATAGCCAGTGCTGCAGCAGATGAGAAACACGAGTGGGCAGTGAGAAATGAATTTGCAAACTGGAGCCTTCTAGTGACCTGGAACCTACAGTGTCACAGAATTCTGTAGGATAATCATATATATACACAAACACATCACAGAGCTACTTATGCTTGGAGTAGTATGCATAGCCATAAACTTCTATGGATGCATACCAGTGCAAACCTTAGGCCTGCAAGTAGAACCAGATCCTACAGTGTTTCACTCCAACCCAAATCTAAATCAAATTAGTTATTTAGCATACATCTGCATTACAATCTCAAGTTTTTCCACAAAGAAACCAGGTTTCAAGTAAAAAATGCTATAGCCCTTATACCTTTCAGCTGCTGCTGCACACAACTGACAAGAGAAAAAAAAATGTACACAAATACACACAAACTAATCTCAAAGACAAAAAAAAAACCCCAACAGGTCTTGAGAGTAAAAACCAACCATTTGTAAGAAGGGAAAAAACATTTTAAAAATCAGATTTAGATAAGCTAACTGTATTCACAAGCTGCAACTTCAACAAATCTGACTTTAAGAAGTCTACAGATCCCAACAGCAAAGCTCTTTTGCTGAAGTTCACTAGCATGAATGTTGGAATAACATAGAATTAAAAAAAATATTCAGCATTTTTTTTTATACTTAATGCTGGATAAGCTTCCCCCTCCCCCATATTCTTCATTTTCCCACACCACCACCTCCATTTTCCGATATATTCGTTCCTGTTGAAAAGGATATTATTCCTGCAGATGGTATTTAATTTAGGACACCATCCATTAAATTTGACAGTCAAGCATATCAGAAATATTCAAGATATTTAGGTTATTAAACACCTGTTTGGATAAGCCATAATAAATTGCATTAACTAGGTCTAATCAGATAGCAACAAAATTAAGGACTTTAAAAAAAAAAAAAGAAATCAACTTTCCAATAGGAAAACATGGACTTACACTGCTCCAACACATTTCTGATGAAATGCCAAGAACCAGAAGATTCATGGGGTTTCATAAGACAGGAAGACCTCTAGAGCATTGTTTCTTAATCTTTGTGTTCCCATGTCTTGCTTTCCCCTCTTCATTTAAGAGGCTTCCCCACGGTGAAATGCAATGCCCCTAACTTGAGACTACAGTAGTGCTTCAGACCTTTTAAAGGTTGTAAATAACTCAGCTGTTCAGTTAAGCCTCTATACAAATATAATAGATTACTCTCTCCATATACAGTAAACAGGATAAAGTTAAATTAGATGCTTCAGCCAGACATCACAGTTCCTTTGAGGCAGTTACATTAGGCACATTATCAGAATAATGGTTAAAGAGCAAACCCTCCAAGCATATAACTTGAGGAGAATATGGGAACTCATAAGATTAGAAGAATTAGTATATAGCAATGACTTACCAGTATGGCCACTGGTAGTTAGTTAATAAACCACGACATACACACTTAATTCCTCTTTTTTTTTTTTTAACTTTATCATTTTTGGGATAGAAAAAGCTTTGATAAGACACAGGTCCCTCAACTTTTTTCCCTGGAATTATTAGACAATCCCTAACCTCTTAAAAAAAGCAGGCTTTCAGGGGTAGGTATCAATAGAGATACCTAACAGACACCAGGATTTGCTGAGAGAGGAAGCAAGTTATATTGCCAAATAGCTTTTTCATTAAGAGGGAATATTCCACCAGCTGAAAGCAAGAAGCACTAATTTGTCATAGGGCTTCTCCTAGCAAGGGAGAAAGGTTTGAGTAAGGAAGAGCTAAACGGCTGTCAAGGCCATGACAGATGTTAAAAAAAAAAAAAACAGAAAAATTTGTTCAGTTCAAAGAAAGGAAGGACAGTGGTGCAGGACTAACAAGTCAGGCTCAGACATTGTGTGTGGTGAAGAAGCATGGCAGGTCTTCCACTGATCGTGCATGAGACCTGGAAATTCTTGTTATCACTGGCACAGTCAAGGAGTCAGAAGTAATTGTTGAACATAGAAACAAAATTAAAGGGTCTCCTTAGTACCACTGCTAAGCTGATGGATTGTAATAAGAAGCCAGGGAAAAAATTAAAAAGAAGCAGCACTACTTCCTCAATAAAGAATTTGGGAATAATTTATACTCTGAAGACGACCTAGAAGTCATAACTGTATTTTGGAATTACTGTCACTATCAGTTGGCCTAGAGACTTGGAAGGGATAGGGTGAACTGGGCTTTAGCCAGTTACAAAACAACAACCAACAACAAAAAAATCTCAGTAAAACAACCCTCAACAAATCTCACTGCCTGGATAATGTCTACCACACCAAAAGCACCAGTCAAAATCCATTAAAAAACCTCATACAGAATACTCATCTCTTCTGTTCAATTACTAGCATGCATGATTAAGGAAAGTAGATGTTAAATTTCTAGGTCTTCCGTAAAGACGCCATACAGTATACCAAAAATTGGCAAGTTTTTTGAATAACAAGTTATACAAACAACTTCTTGCAGTCTGTGGCAAGTTAAGAAAATTAGCAGTTGTGAAGCTGTTTGCTGGTGCTCTTGAATAATCCCCACATGACCAGATTTTTTAATTTATTTAAAGTCATTGATCCACAATGCTCTCTACCGTAAAGAAAGGGTCTCCTGCTTTGCTAGCCGGTGAGGTTTGTGTGGACAGCATGACAGTGAAGCAACATTAAACAGCTCTTTAATCCATCCAGGGGAGGGCAGTATCACTTCAGTTTGCTCAGTAAAGCACATTCCCTAAAGGGGAATCAGCTCCTGTGCTGCACTACAGAATCTCGTCTATAAGATTTTCAGTAGCTTTGATAAAACCCAAAAGATTAATAATTCTGCTTCTCACTAATAATTCTGCTTCTCTGATAATGCAGAGTATAATTCCTGAACCTATATTACAGAAACTGAATTACAGTTGCCTTACTAGAACTACAGTACTTCTTAAAAACAACATTAGACTAAAAACTGATTGTACAGCTAAGAGATACTGTAATTGAACAAATGTTTGCTGTTGCAAACACCTACATGGTCGGTAATTTTAATTCAAAACCTTCATTTCACTACTTCAGAGTCAATAAAACCAAGAGTGGTAACATACCTTCCCTAGTACTGTATGTTGAAACCACCACAGTAACCAGAACAAAGACAACCAATCGCCACTCAACCCAAAGTAATACTTTGGGTAACTATTTTGGTTAAAAAAAGCCAAAGAATTACAATCTTACAAAGCTTTGTTTTAACAGGAATTTCAGTTGAAATCTACAGTTCTTTCTTGATACTTTAAATTCTAAGTGTCTTCTGGGACAAGGCCATTCCTCTCACCTGAGGCTTGAGGGAGCAAAGAAGCTTCCTGTGGCCACCAACATAATGGACACATTAAGGCGCATGCACAGGGGAAGGATCATCTTTTACACTTGTAGTTTTCCTGACGTTTTTTGAATCAAGCAAGACTCAAAGCTGACAGAGGAAAAAAGCAACACCAAGCTCCTCTAAACTATAACGAGGCTATGGAGGAGTTGGTCTTGGAAGCCCCAAACTGGTGACTTTGCAGCCTTCTTTTCAGTTCATTAGAGAGTATTGTTTCATTGCTACTTGAAGACCCAAGGAAAATAGAACTGATTTTTTAATTTTTCACATCTCAGATTGTATATGAAAAAAGATGCCCATGGAATTAGTTAGTTGTCCTTCCTCAAAATCCTCTTTTTCCACGACATCACAAAAAATTCTTGACAATTGTGATAGCATGCTGTGATTACTGTCACTATTGCTGGCCAAAACTGCCTTGTTTTCTCATATTATGTAGTTTTCTCATGTACTGCTGTTTGCTGTTATTATTATATAACAGAGTCATTTTTAACCAAAGCTTTAGACAGCAGTAACACATACAGTACTGTTAAATTTTCATTAGATTTTAGTTATCTTTTTAAGAGTAATATGGTCAATTACACAGACTCTGGAAGATACAAGTTGTCTGCAGTTTACTGAATATGGAGTAAACCTAGCTCTACTGTATATTAAATTTCCCCTTAAGTTCAGTTTCCCATATGTGCGCTATAAAAATAATCTCTTACCATAGTAGAGAAAAACGTTGAAAGATTTTTCATATCTCAAAAATACTTAAACTTAGGAATTACCCTATTTGAAAAGCCCTTCTTTTGAATGTACCCAATTCCTGCAGGTACAATCCCAATTATTCAAGTGAATTTCCAAACAGGACCTAAGTCAGATATACTTTGATTATTTCTACAAAAGTCTATGTCAGCAAACCTGAAGTTTTAAGATTGAAAAAACAAGGTAATGACCATACACAGTATTTATCAGATATATTTCAGACAGGTATTTTGGACACATAATGTGTAACTTCTGATTGAAAATTAACCTAAAGAGTTTGTCAATAGTACTGATATATCAGAATTATAAAAAAACACAGGAAAAAAAAATAAGCAGCATATTGCAAAGTCCCAACCGAGCAAGCATAATTATTAACCTACTAGACAGGAAATCCCACTCTGTTTTGTTTTTTTTTTTTTGAGGGGCAGGAAGGGCAGATATCAGGCTTACTGCTGTCACTGTTTCTGCGGGCTTTGGCTACCATCAGAGGTACCTGGACTTCTGATCCACATTATTTGACTTTGTATCGTAATTGTATGCAATAAATAAAGGTGAGGTGCTACACACATAGTAACACTTAGAAATATCAGAGTAATTCTCATCTCCAGAACTGGTATTTAAGTTTTTATAATGCCACCACACAATCCCTTTTAAAACACTGATGGAGTAGGGGAGGGTTCTTTGTACCTTTATTGACTGCAAGACACTAGTCCCCTTCTCCGTTTCTATTTTGCAGTTATCACATTCTATTTTCTGAATCTTCACGCAGCCAGTCCCTGATGTTTTGATATCCAAATCTAGAATTAAAAAAGTTTTATTAGCAACACAATGAGAAGAGTCAGATCTATTTAACATAGTACTTGACCACTTTATATAGGAACTACATATAGTAGGGGAAAAAAGTAGCTTCTTTGTTACTAAAGAACCTTCTTGCCAAGTTTGGTCATATACTTTCAATTGCATGACTAGTCATTATCAACAACTGACACTGAAAATTTTGTAAGCCTGTGTATAACCATCCAGATTCAAGAGAGAACGTTAAGAGGCAGCAGAGTGACTGTAACCCCTGGCAAGGAATCATCAGGGTGTGGTCCTTTAAACCCACTCCCAAACTCCACCTCTATCTCATAGCTACCCTAGTCACCAATCCTATTAGCAATTCTACTGAGACATTTGGGTACCCTGACATGGGTTTTGGGGTGGGAAGGTTGGCAGGTTGTTTGAGGCAACATGTAGAGTAGTAAGATTCAACAGCACAAATACATAGGTCTTGCTTAGACCTCTGCTGCTTCAACTAGCATGCAGCGTAACACAAAAACAGGTACAGAAGGGTTTGCATGCGTCATTCTTCCCTAGCATTCTGGGAGGCCTGACTTACCCCCCTGGCATGAAGAAGCATGTTTGCCTCTAGTCTGAATCACCTCACCTTATTACTGTTCATAGGCTCCCACAAAGAAAAGTCACTAGGTCTTGTAGATAACTCTGTCAACAAGGGAGTAATTTATGGGCTCATAGTGCTTCACGCAGGAGCAGCAAAAGCATTTTTCTGACACTTGAGCTCACCTCTGAGTTTAAGGAACCGGGAAGAAGTTTGAGAATATGCAGTCTGGGGATTCTGACTATACTAATAATCATTTATATTAATTACCACCATTACGACTGGCAAAAGGTAAAGGCAGGAGAGGAAAGAAGTGGTTTTGCTCTTCTAAGGGTAAAAGGCAGAAAGAAGAAAAAGAAAAATTGAACAGGAGTCAGAAGTGTTTGCTGCAAGACACATAACTGAAGGACTAAGAGAGATAGTGAGCCTACTCCTCTCTAAAGAAAAGGAGATCATCTGGGAAAGAAACCTTCATTTAAGCACCTGTGAAAGTTTTTCTTTCACCTCCACTATCTGCTAAGGTGACCAGAAATATGAGAAGAATAATCAGAGTATGTATAACTGGTCCGCCCCAGTGAGATTCCCCAAGTCAGATCCGCGACACAGCTGAGGCCAAAGATCAATGTCATGCTGTTGCTCAGGACAGATGCTGGAACCATGACGACAGTAGCTTGGAGACCATGAAGATGAGAGACTGAGAGCTCCAATTAACAACGAAGGGAAGCTTGGCCACCTGACAAACCAGGAGAATCCAAAAGGCAGAGCTAAAACACGTTACATCTTTGCTGCAAGAGTGCTACCTTATTGCCACAGTAAGCTAAGAGGTTAAATTTAGTGAAGAATGCAGGCTGTGTTCACAGGTAACAATTCTGTAAGAGGGCTAGAAGAGGTGGACTGGATAAGCAGGTTTTCCAGAAAGCTGTTTTATTTGCAGATATTATTTTCGTAGCCTCTTCACAGAAGACTTCCAAGAAAGAGATACAGTGACCAAGATTTTAATCAAACTATATGTTTCTTAAATTTAAGTAACTCTAAGACAGGCTTTGAGGCATCTAAAAGCACAAAACCTGGCAAACTGGACTGGTGACTATCATCAGAGGCTCAATGGCCAGCACCACAAGGTTTTATGTTGGTAAAGCCTAGACAGTTTCACCAGACTAAAAATATCTGAGTGGTATCTGAGCTTTTTCAATTTGATCAATGCTGATCTACAAGTCCTGAAGTTGAGACAAAAACTTTTCCATAAGGTTTTACTTCTCAGGGAGCAGTTGGATTGTTTAAACACAGTTCCCAGAGAGACACAAACAGAGGCACTCTCCAAACATCTACACTTGGAACAGTATGTCCCTGCGCAGCAGAAACCTGGAGAGTTCAAAAAGAAAGCAATATTATTTTTGAAATACAAGCTGTCTTGCTCAAAACTGCTCAATTCACCCACTGGAAAACTGCACGGTCCTTGGGAGGATCTACATCCAAGACTTGCTATTTTGCTTTCTGAGAAGAGAGAAGTCCAAAAGCCAGTTTGCTTGTGCAAATCTTTGAATTCAGTCAGCTTGATACCCTCTTGCTCTTATTGCTTCTGTCAAAAGGGGTGAGGAAAAGGCTTAAGAGCAGTTAGTTTAGCCATGATACCAACTTAATACGACTTGTATAAGAATAAGGTTAATAAAAACTTATGATCCTGCAGGGCATGTTATGGCCATCATTTGAAGGGTAGATTAGTAATGTAATCCCAGCTGTATCAAAGATGGGTGCCAAAAGAGGACACAGAAGACTGGAGATTCACGAGCATGCTGTTAAGAAACACCAGCGATTCCTGGAAACATATTTTGTGCCTTGATGCTCTGCAGAGTCTCAGTGCTTTGCTAGCCCTGATATAGCAAAAACTAATGGACAAGGAATGGAGCCCCTCTGTCTCTCAAATAGGCTTCCTGAAGCAAGGATAAATGACTCCACAAAGAAGCAAGCTAAAAGCTGGATAATATGGCTAGCGAAATTTCAACAAGCAAGGACGAACAGGATACAATCTGTTTCTGTGCCAAAGCTCCAAAAATAGCTAGTTTAATTCCTTCTTAGCAAAGACAAGGGCTGAAGCCAACTTCAGCTACACAAACCTCGAAGAATGCATGAAGACCTTTGAGGTGCAAAGGACTTCTATTGGAAAAAGGTACATACAGAGAAAAAGAATTTTGGTATCAGAATGTAGGCAAGGGTACCCCAGAAATACCACCTTAAACTATAATATTTGAAATAGACTGGAAAATTACTTATTTTAAAGTCACTCAGCAGCCCTGGACTACTAGAAGTACTCCATGATGATCCACTCCTCCGCTTATAAAGGAAGCTTACCAGTAAGTGAGCATGCACATAAAATAATTCAGTCCAGGAAAAACTATTTATTGAGGGCATCAGATTATAGTATTTGCTACTCTGAGGCTGTAAGTCTGCCATACTTAGGAGTAGACATGATCTTTTTTCCAACTCACTAACATGTTAAGACTTGAGAAAAACACACTTGAAAACATTCACATTTGCTTTCCACTAATGTTTACAAAAAACAAAAAGCAGAAACAAGCAGTCCCAGGAGTTTAGGTTCTCCCCTCATATAAGTAGGCAGAAAAATTGTTTAAGTGATATGATAAAATTACAATTTTGGTAATTCATAAAAACATTCAAGACCCATACATTCATTCAGTTTGCTTAGTTCCACAAGAATCTACAGTATTTAGCCAAAAAGCTAAGTGATCTATGGACTTAAATAAGACTAATGTGGAAGAGTTAAGTTTTTCCACGGAAAGAACTGATAATAAAAAAAATAAACAAAAAAAAAAAAGTAGAAAACCCATACTGGCTTACAAGTGGGCCTAGACCAAGAGTGCTTGATCCTGTGCCAGAGGGGACAGAGCTTTGGTATTCTACTCCATGAAGCTTGACCACCACTTCAACACTCATGGTCCTCCTCCTTGACTTTGGCATAGAAGCATCTGTTCGTATAACATGGAAAAAGCATTGGAACAGTTTGCCAAAGGAGGTTGTGTAGTCTTCATTCTTGAACATTTTCAAAACCAGACTGGATAAAGCCCTGAGCAGCCTCCTCTGACCTTGGAGTTGACCCCGCTTTGAGCAGGAGGTTGAACTAGGAACATTCTGAGGTCCCCTCCAACCCAAATTATCCTATGATTCTAATATATACATACTAAGGCAAAATATAAGACCCACATGGTAAGACAGGACAAATGATTCTCAAATTCCGGTTATGCAAGACCTCAGCTGAGTTTACTTCTGAGTACTCAGTCAATGTACAGTAACCAGAAATCAAAGAGCTGGTTTCAGGTTTAATTAGCACATGCAGTTCGACATGCCAAGACACAGGGTTCTCTTTATGTACTGAGCAGACTCCGAACCTACAGCCATGTGCCTACGCTGTCCCTGGAGTAAACAGCTAACATATACATATGACCTGAAGGAAAATAAATAAGCTAGATTAAAGAGAAATTAATTGACATGTATCATCTATGAAGGTTAAATATATCAGAGAGGATTATCAGATTGTGTATAATGTTGAAAGACTATACACAGCATAAAACTAGACACTGAGACAGAAATAGAGGATCCTTTAGTACTTGCCCTACTGGGCTGCTTACAAGTTGCCTTTGGTTTAAAATGCATACTTAAGCTCATCATCTAGCATCTTCTGCACATGCTCTTCAGGGTCTAAGGAGTTTTTGCTAACTTAGAGCTTCCTGGATAAGCTCCAACCTAAATTGCGAAAGCTGTTACGAAATGCCACAACTTCCAAAACCAAGAAAGAAGCTAGAATACTGTAACGACACTCACATCAACTTCTTACAGCTAAGTGACAGAAAGAGAGCTCAGATAAAACTGTCTAAACAGAACAGAGTTAACATCCTCCTGACGCATTCAAGGAAGGCCAGAGAAAAGCCAAAGTGCTGGCGGAGCAACAACGGGTTCCTTCTGGTTTGAGATGTGTTTTAACAAGGGATAGGATCTTTAGCTTATGCAATGATGTTTAATGGATAATTCTTTCCTAAACAAAGAAAAAGAACAACCCAAGCACAAACTACTACTCGGAGAACCCAAAAACCAAAATAGAGCTGAAAGGACACTTAAAGTAGAATCTCACTGGCAAGTAGCAATTCTACTTCACTGAGTACAAAAAAAAAATTACGTTTTAGGAAATATATTTCTGGATATGCTTGGATAACAGCATGAACAAACAATACTAACATCATGCTAATTATAGGGTGACAAACAGCAAATAGCAGAAGGGGATTAAAATCCACAGACTGTCCAGGGAACTTGAATTGCATGAGTTTACCACAAGTGGAACGGCTTAGAAACCTTCAAACTAATAAAACCTATTTCAAGAAGGAAGACTATAAGACAGTCTGCAGGGTTGGCTGACATTCAGAATATAAGAATCTCAAAGACAGGACAAGAGCTGAATTTTTTTTTTTTTTTCCCCCCCTCAATCAGGATTCATTATTGAGACCTTTAGGAAGGTTCCCCACATTGAAACTCTTTATGAAGGCTGAGATTCTCCAGATCTTAATACAATGAATTCTACCCTCCGAGAGTAACGAAGTCTGGAGTAACACATAATAGTCACTCAGAGATCCTGGAGAAACTGAGATATTAAATTACTAACAGCTACAGTAACCAGACACACCTGGTACCAGAGAAATGAAGAGTAATAAATGGGACACTGGGTTTTGGTTTGTCTGTCTGTAATCCTGGGATGGACTCTGTGAATGTACTACAGACAAGCCAAGATAATCTTTGCACTTGCCAAGGAGGGGAAAAAAAAAAAAGCTGTAAGAATGTAACTAACAATCCTTAGGGAAGAGTCAAAACTACAAAAGTCTCTGGGAGAAGACAGTCCTGCTACAGTTCAGTGAAAGAGTCAATGAATATACAGGTAACAGTTGATCTGTTTAAGAGAATGAATTTGAATTTTCAGATGCCTTTGACAATATCCTTAGTCCTATATTGTCTTTTAGCTATAAACTATGCATAATCTTCAACACTACATGAATTTGGAAATCAGCCAAATACCAAGGTTGAACAGTTTCATCAACAACACTGAATTATTCAGACTAGTTAAAAAACTCACTGACAAACTGCAGAAAGATCTTGGAATACCACATACTCAAATGATAAAATAGCAGGAAATAGAATGGATGGCATGCTTTGTGGGACTCTGCCAAGAGGCATGGAGTTTGCCAGGAAGCTCTCACCCTGAAACTGTTTACATAACTAAGCAGATACTCAGAAGAGAGACCCACTGAGGGGCTAAGCTGTATCAGGCTCAGAAAATCCCCCAAGCTCAAAACAGTTGACAGCTAAGAGAACACCTAGATGAAATATCATTTATGTTTGTCCTGTTCCCACTCTTCCCTGAGTTTATGACTACTGCTGGAGATAGGACAGTGGGCTAACTGGACTCATGGTACAAATCAGTACAGCCATTCTAACATGACAAAGTAAAGCATGCTAAGGGCAGGGAGGGGGAGAAGCCCCTCATTTTATTTACAGAATGTTTGCCTCTGTATCAGTTGTTAGGAAACAAAAAAGACCGTAACTTTTGGTAAACATATCTAAGAAACACCCCTTCAGCTATCAACGGTGTTCCAAAAAAAAAAAAAAAGTAAATTATAGGGATGAGTAAGGCTAGAAAATGAAAGAGAAAGCTGCTACGATAAATGCATAGCACTTCTCCATATATAATTCAGGTCCTTCTAAATGAAAACAAGAAAAAAAAAAACAACCAAAAAACGACATAGTAGAATTCAAGATATAGGGAAAAAAAAAAGGTAAGAGAAGATAAAAGGTGCAGAATGTCTTTGTTGTAAGGTTTTGGAAAACTGAAAACCAAGAGAATATAACACCATGCTCTACAAAAGTCATAGATGACATGTACGAAGCCTAAGTAGAATGAGATTATTCACTATTTCTCATACCACAACTGCAGTAGAGCATCAAATGAAATAAAGCGGCAGTCTTGAACAACCACTTGAAGCAAACCAAAGGACTGGGTTTTTTGTACACTGAAAAGTTTTTCCAGCATGGTGAAACTTATTCTGCATGGTATAGGCAATTACACAAATCCTTAGGAAAGCAAACACATCAATGACTAAACACAAATCTCTCCAAGTACTCCCTAAATCTCAGCTCACCGAAGGGAATTATCCTAGCAAGCTTGCCCTTTTCCTTTCCTAAACTTAGAGTCAGTATTTCAGTCCAGCACAGATGTTTATTGGTTTCAGCCACTACAGCTGCTCTCCCGAGTTGTTTGTAGATTCCGTACCAGAAACCCTGCACAGATTTTTGCCTTGTGCCCAAAAAAATAATGCAAGACTTGTACTAGACAAGGGAGCCCTTCTTGGCATTTCATCTGTATTGTTACCTTCCAGACTTTTTTGATCCCTGTGGATGGCCACTCAGCATAACAACCACTAATGGAGCTGGTAAGTCCAACAACCCTACTGGGAACAACCCTTGAACTGCAGGTGTGCTTAGCACATACTGTTGTCTCCCAGCTGAGCTGTAGTTACATCTCTTCTAGAACACCAGCTGTCAGAGCAAAAATAAAAGTGTGCATTGCAACTACCACTTAATTACACAAGTTTCAGCATTAACTACTGCTGACAGGAATGACAGCAACAAATCATGTATCCAAACACCTAAGAAGTCAGGAAACGCAGAAAAATAAATGGGACGTTTTGAACTCCTTAATTAGAGCGGGCATGATGCCATTTCGGAATATGCACTGCCAACAGCGCTTCCAGCCGGAGCAGCAGCGGCGCCCGCATAGTCCCCGCTGAGCCCCACCTGAGGGAGCGATCCCGCCTCCCCCGGGCTCCATGTGCCGGCATGCCGGAAGGAGGGGGC